GTAACAAGAACTGAAGACCAACACTACAATGTTAGCAACCTTACTGTACTGTGATTGGCTAGGACTACTATGCAGCCATTATCTAGTAGTCATTGATGTAAATGCTGAAAAAAAAACTTAGAAAAAATCAACTGGACTAGGTTTCTAGGTTGAAGACGTTTCACCTCTCATCCAAGAGGCTTCTTCTTCTGCCTGACTGGTGTTGAGCCGGAGATATTTATCCCCCTCGGTGGTGTTTCAGTCCTTTGAAGGCCAACAATGTCCCTTAACGACTGAGTCGTTAAAGCCCAGTATCGGTGAGCGTCGTTACCTGTCTTTGAATCCTCCCCTGCGGACCGACGCCTATTGTCCTGGTGGGCAAGTTTTTTTCAGCTTATTATGACCTGGATGACTGAGAATCTGCACAGACACATTGATGTAAATGTTTATGGTTTTGCGAACCAATCACAGCTCACGTACCCATGATTCGCGCTCAGTAACATGTGCATATGCACCACGGGAAAAATAGACCACGTTGAAATGTATGCACAGAATACATCAGTACAGGCATAGAGTTTGAAAGTGAGCACTCAATCCATTAAGGTATAAATATAAAATATTTTCCTCCTACCATGTTGACAAAAAGACTTTAACAAGGCACCAGATTGTCCAACTTTTTCCCTATGTAATATCATATATTTTCATTTATGAGATGTCTAACTATGAAAATAATATAGTGAGATGATGGGGTTTTTAATGTTCTGACTTTTTTTTTTTCATGTACAGTTGAAGTTGAATCAGTGACACAACAAAACAATTGAACATATTTTTATTTTATAATGGAATCAATGTCATTAAGGAGATATTAAACATGTGGGTGAATACAGCAAGGAGTGTTCCATGATTTAATGTGCTGGACTTTTATATTTTAGAGAGGCATTCCCTGAAGCATGGTGCATTAGATTCAAATTGAAGTTCAGTATTTACAATGGCTCTAAACAATGTTCAAACCACTCTAAATTTTAACTCACTACTGCTGTTACACACTCCTTTTTTAAGTTCAGTTGTGAGGATATGTTTTAATATGATCTTCTCTTCAAATTTCCCACAATGTATGGTACTTTATATGGTCCAAAACCACTACATTACTTCAACATATTAAAAAAAGATTATCTCATTAGGATTATAAACATTTCACAGTAAATCTACTGGAGTTTGTCTGATTTGTTTATAGTTAATGATGAACTCAATAAAAGATAAAACATGTAAAGAATGGAGGAAGGAGAGGCGACTGTTCTACAGCTCACTGTGCTCCATCTTCTCTGTAAGTTGCTGGACTTTCTCTGGGAGGGTCTGAGTCAGGAAGACAAACCGGTCCTTCTTCAGATGCTGACCAGTTACCTGCTTCTTTAAACCAATTGCCAGGTATTCCTCTTCTGCTCCATACTTTGGCCAGTGGACAAGGCCGTCGCCGTTAGGAGACCTACACAAACACATGTTTGTCTCATCTCCATGTACTGTACATGACCTTTTGTACAAAGAGGGGTCATTCCTACCCTGTGCGAGCAAAGTTTCCCCAGTAGCTCATCATCATTTTGCTCAGCTGTTCCTCATCTTCAGGGCATGAATCTGGAATGATGAAAATCTCATAAAACTCTTTGCACTCCAGGACACCCAAAGACAAGGCAGACATCTGGTGGTCTATCGAAACACTGATTTTATCTTGCACTCACCAGCTAATTTGACATGGGTAGTTGTGAAGCAAAATCCTAAAACTGTAAAGATTTCATCTCCATGGTCAGTCCCAACAAAGCTTGGCCTTTTTACCTGAAGGAATTTGGGAGGATGCTGGTACTCATACAGGTATACAGGTGCCCCGGCATCTAGTGGCAGACAAATGGGTGTGATATGTCTTGTTTATGTGTCAGAAAATATTAATCATACACAAAAGCATTTACCTCTGTGGGAATTAGCAGTCTTAATGGCTGGAATGTTAAA